CCCCGGTGCGAGCGGGCGTGTGTGGGGAAGGGGGCGAGTCTCCGCCTGCCGCCGCCGCCGCCGCTCCCCCAGCCGGCCGCCCGCTCGGCTCCTGTCTCTTTAAAAACGCCCCCCCGCCGCCGCCGCCGCCTTCCTCCTCCTCCTCTGCCGCACCCCCCCGCGCCCGCCCGGTGCGATGGTCCGCGCCGCTAACTCAGCCTAGCCCGCCGGGCCCCGAGTGGAACAGACCAATGCGCGGAGGGGGGGGGCGCTAGGTTCGCCCCGCCGAGCCGGCGGGAGGGAGCCGCAGGGGCCGAGGAGCGCGGCGATTGGCTGTGTCGTCTGCCACTCCGACGCCGGGCTGCGCCTTCCCTAACGTCTCATTGGTCGTTTGCTCTTTCTACTCCCCCACCCTTTTCCTACCTAGCATTTTCCCCGCCGGAAAGGGGCGGGAAGGGCGGGGGTGATTGGCAATAGAAGTAGCCAACGAAGAGAAGGGGCCGGGCCCAGGTGGCGAAAACAGCGGCAGGACTGGTGGAGGCGGCTGTCAGTCGCGCTGCGGKCTGTGCGGCGATTGGCGGATCCATGGGAGCGCGCTGCTGTCACATCCGCTGGCGGCGGCCGCCTCGCCGTTACCTCCGTGATTTCCTGAGGGGAGAGGGCGGCCGGGGCGGCGCTGCCCCCGGCCCGGGGCCGCCTCCCGCCCTCGGAGCTGCCCCAGGCCCTGCCCGGCAGCCGCAAAGGTCGCCCTGGCGACGGCCGTCGGCGGCCTCCGCCATCCGCGGGCCCGAGGCGAGGCGGGAGGCGCCGTTGTGGCCCCCTGGGCTCCGCGGGGGCAGGGTGGGCCCGGCGGGAGAGCCGGGTGCTCCTCCCCGACACCCTTCCGGGCTCACAGCCCCGGTGCTGCCTCGCGAGGGGCAGGCCTGGGTGTAATCGGCCTCCACGGGCATCGGCATCATTGGCAACGGGGGGAAGATGCTGCAGCCTGGTCTGGTTTGKCCTGAGGACTGTGTACAGTCCCAAGGAAGCACTGTCCTCCTGTCCTGGTGTTCCCACGGCAGGGAAGCAAGAGGGCTCTGGTGCCAGAGCTGGTGTTATTGCAGATTTTTTCCCCAAAAATGACTATACAAGTACMTATGAAGGCAAGGAAAGACATCTGAACCCGAACACAGCTCTTAGATCAGAGGCCGCACACGCTGTGGAGTTAGGGAGCAGTGTAATGAGGTGAGGGGGAAAGGAGGGGAATTCTGCCTCCATTTGGGAAGGGAGGGATGCAGGAGGCTCTGCAGAGATTTGGTCCTTACTTTCCTGTCAAGAGCACGATGAAAAAGGTGGTGGGCAGGTGTTGCTGATTTATTTGTTCAATCCACTTTTCCAAGCATGCTATTAACATTCTCAAGGATCAGTAACCTTGAAATCTYGGGTATTAGGCGTTACGGGGCCCTGTCCAGTCCCCTGGCCTGTAGCTTAGTGAAATCAAASACAATTGCAGCTAGCACTTGAGGACAGCATTTCAGAAGACTATGTGTGAAATCCGGTGTGAGGCTCCCCGCTCCCTTTGACCCTCCATGAYCCTTACATTAAGTTACCACAGTGAATGTGCAGCCCACGCCTCTTGAGGAGGTAACAACTGCTGCTGCATCTGCTTCCCACGTGTCAGCCTCTCGCCCCCGGAGACACGTTCATCTGCAGACACAGGGCTCCCCACCGCAGCTCTGACACCACCTCCTCACCCATACAACCTGAGTACTTGTCCTTTCTGTGGGGGAAGATCCCTATATGTGCAGGACACCCTGGTTGTGTGTCCTGGTGTTGATGAGGACAGCTCAGTGACTTCAGCTTTGAGCATTTGCCACACTAAGGAGCTGCCTGCCAGACACTTTGCTAAGAGTCATTCCCAACAGTATGAATGGGTCCTTTTTAAACATAAGAAATGGTGTGACTGGTCTGTTTTATGAAAGTCATTCTTTCTCCCATGTCTGTGACAAACACCCTGGTAACACCTAGGACAGGACGCRGCTTCTTTCTTTAAGCCCTTTATCAGACTCCCTTGTTTGCCATGCATGGGAAGAAGCAGAGACTCGTTAAACCACTTACATACCAATGCCACCAGTACCGTTGTCTACCTGATGATCAATAGGTTGTTTCCTTAAACTCTACAGCTCTTAGAATTTCTTTCTTATCTTCTCCTAGCTCATGAGTTCTTTGGAGCAGGGACTCATCCCTCCCCCATGTCTCTTACTCTCTCTTTTTTTTTTTTTTTCTTTTAGTTTTTAGTTCTGTCTTTGTCCAGGGCTGATTGATGGGGGTTATTAGATTTTACAATAGTAAAGACAATTATAACTGAGCTAAAATGAAAGGTTTTTAGATCGGAGGAGGCTCTCACAGTGCTAAAAACCATCCTCCTGGATTCAACAATGATTCCTTTCTACTTCCACTAAGTCAATGTTAATATTCTTTATTGACTTAAGTTGTAACAGAAATGTACTCTAAATGCTGCACACTTGTCATATTTTCACAAAGACAAATAATACCAAGGAAACTTCTATATGCCATGATCAAGCTTACTTTTTTAATATCATCCTTATTTTCACTGCAAATCTACAGCAGACATTTGTGAAAGAGACATCTCACCTAAGAAATGTCATATACTGTTTTTAATAACCTTGATCTTAAGCTCTACCATATCTTTAGTAATGAAAAAATCAACAGAAAATACAGATCTTTTGCATTTACTAATCAAACAGCTCTTTTATCTTCTGAAAAGAAATGTATAGACGTCATGATGGCATTCCAACATCATCCGCTCAATTAGGTAAGAAAATAAATGATAAAAATGAGTTCTCTTGGATCCTTCTCATCCAAATACAAAAGGGCCATCAAAGGAAGCTACCAATTAGTTTTAATCCAGAAGCCAATCTTTAAACAGATGTTGGTCTCTCTTTGACTAATTACCTTTTTTTCCAGTAGCCTTCCAGCTAGCTAGTCACACATACCTAGTTCTGTGAATCAAGGCAGGATTGGGATCATTGGAAACAAGATACATGTTGTAAAAGCACATTTACTGGCAGAACTTACAGTATGTGACATTATCTCTCTGTGTCCCTGTCATCATTTGATGTCTGTCCAGTCGAAGCRATGAAAATCCCTTTCTTCCTAAAGACGCTGGAAAAGCTCTGGTTTGTGTATTCCTGTAAAAGCCCAAGGACTTTCTAAAGAAAAGCTGCAAAGCATGCGTGAGGCTACCTGCTGAGACGCAGGCGAGGCAAAAGATAGCAGGGATATCAATTGTACATGTGAAATTAAAACTTTATGGTCAAATGTTTAGCCCTCTCTCCCCTGGCCTGCTCTGCCACACACGAGCAAGGTCTTTGCTCCTACCATAAAGACACTTCCTAGTCCATGTCCTCACCCAAGGCATCCGGTCTCTTCCCAGGTTCTCCGAGCAAAGCTTCACCTCCCCCTTCCCTTCCCTACAGCTAAACAACAAAAGCTTCCCGGGCAAGCTGGAAACTCATTGYTAGACATTGCTGTTAAAGCAGCTGTTTTTCAGTGTGTCTTGTAGAGCTTAAGGCATTTCAGCTTCAAAATAGTTCCCTTTTCATTCACTATTGGCCAAATTAAGTAACATTCCTAGGTTTGGGTACTCTGATGCYTGCAGCAGAGCGGGAATATTAATAAATTGACCTACAGCAGGAATTAACCACTGCTTCCAAAAGCAATGGGGCTAAAGAGCTACCCAGTCCCCTGTTCCCTCCCCTGTGAAAACCAGCTAAACTTCCTCAGCACAAATGCAAGGCAAAGGCTGCCAGCACCGAGTTCAAGGTGGATAGAAGTGAATGCAATGGAAAGCAGTAGGTGATTAATATCCTAATAGCATCTACGTAAGTGATCTGAATATCTTCCAACKAAACAAACACCACAACATTACTACAGTCTAAATCCAAGGAGAGGGTTATTCTTATTCTGCAACAACCTACTGTTACTAATCCTGGGTTTTTCTCCATGGCTACAGCATCAAAACAGGAGATAAAGATAAAAGCGAGAACTTACGGCTATGAAATTTAAGACCATCTCTCTGAAGAAATCAGATCCCGAAAGACAATACATATGTTCAATGCTCTGCAGATTCTGAAATTTTCATGGAGGTTTCTGTGCCACTTTTCTCGCAGAGTCCTCATGTTTACCTAATGGAGGTGTTTGGTTTATGCAGAAAAAAAACAAGTAAGTTTACAAAGAACAAGGGTTTCCTTTTAAGAAAGAACACCAGCATTGATTACAGTCCTCCTCTGAAAGAAATACTTTGGAAAATGCACATTTTTATCTTTTGCAAGTTCAGGAACAACTACAACATTTAACTATTCCTGTTCCTTGAGGTTCACGGTGCAGCACTTGAAGAGTGATGATTTAAGAGCATTTCAAGACACATCAAACTGACACACAGGACACTGCTCTGGCTACTTCTGTGATCAATGGCAATAGGTGCTGAGTCCTCCCTCACCTCCCAGGGGCAGGAAAGTAGAAATTTGCAGACTGAATCTCCAGGGGCATTTCCAAAGCATGTGCATTACCTTTCTGGCTTCAAATTTCCCCAAGGTTTTCCTGGCACCTTATTCTCCAGAAAGAGGAGAAATCTCTTTCAGCTGGAAATCTGACCTGAAATTTTTGGAAACAGAATAAAAATAAACTCTAAAACAGTATAGAAAATAAAAGCTCTTGAGATTTGTTGAGGCCAGATCCTTACCTGGCAAGCTTGCAGCAAGCTCTAGAAGGGGGCAGTGTTATCAAGCCCTTTGCTTTCCATCTTGCAAAGATACCAGAATCTTTCCTGGGAAATACACAAACACCTAAACTCTACAAATACCTCCCAGTTGTTCCATTCCATACTGTGAAGGTGGCACAGAAGCACCAGGTAACTGTTTAACACCAGTGAAACCAAAATAAGAGTGGAAAATAGTGACACCTTTTTGTCCTCTATTAATTACAGCCACATATAAACTGCTGTAGTTTACATACAGCATAGCTGCTTGCTCTATGTGCACGCACACACACACACACACTGATGTGTTTTACACATTTGCTGAAGTTTAATTTACTCCTGGGCACAGCTTGGGAGTGTTTCTAAAATAAAACCTTTTGGTGCAGCAGACAGCTTGGGAAAGGATTTGCCTCTGGGGGGAGGAAATAATTCCAGTGCCTCCCGTGTCTCTTGGAGGAATTTTTAATTTTAAAGCATTGATGATTATGCTAATTAGTGCTTTCCCCCAAATGACAATGGAATATAAATGTTGATAGTAGCTAAAACATACTGCAAATGTACAGCAAACTCTTCCTCCAGAGACTCATCTATGTTACACGATAGCTCAGTTGGGAAGTGGCAGAGTTCTTCCACATCGAAACTCAAACCAACTGTATCCTCCATCCACATCATCCCAAGGGGGAACTTTCCGACTTTTCTGGCTAGCCATAAATCAGTCCTTACTTCATTCACTTTTCCACATAAAATGCATTAAAGTGCCCATTTTAGTTTGCTGGTAAACGTGAACCTTTCCCTTAGATCAGATGCACAAACACCACCGAGGTTCTAGCTAGGATTCTTAACAAAAATATGAATTACAAGTGAGTCTGTCCTAGGACTGAACCCACAAGAGGCTGACGAGCCCAGTTCTCAAAGTGGATTTCAACAGGACTGTTCAAGGGTTGGTCTTGCTTGCTGGTTTGAAACTCATGGATCTAAAARCTTGCAAAGTTCTTAATTCTGAAGGTGCTTGGTAGAACTGAGGAAGCAACTCAGGAATATTTTTCATAGAGTTACACCCCTTAAGAGTAGAGGAGGAGAGATATCCAATGAGACACCGAAGCAAGCAGTCCTCAATATAAACAGGCGATAAGCAGTGCTTGGATATTCTCTGGAAGATGCTGGACTTCGGCACTCACTCCTTTTGGGCTTCCCCTTGACCCAGGTCTCCAAACACACACCCTGTTTCATCTTCTAGCAGGAGACCCAGAGCAGGCAGCCTGCGTGCACGCAGCTAAAACACTAGATGCAGTTGTGGCCTCTTGTTCTGCTCACAAAGGGCCAATTTGCTCTTACAAGCACGAGGGCCCTCCACGCTAATAACCAATACATAATACATGAAGATTCCTCAGTGCCTCTTCTGCATGTTTCCAGGCACTCTAAAAAGGACAAATTCTCCCATGATCTACCAGGAATTACACATTCCAAACCCCCAACACAACCATTTTCCAAAACCCTAAATATAATTTTTTTTTAGCATTTTAAAAATAAACTATTTTAAAATCTTTAGTTCTACCCCAGCCTGTTTTCATCTAAGTATTATGAATTGCAGTTCAAATAAAAAGCACCACCGTTACGTACTCCAAAACCRTTAAAGCAGACTGGGTTGTTTGTCTGACCACAGCGTTTAAAACCAGGGAGATACCAGGTAAAATCTGCATTATTCTGCCAGAAGCTGATTGCCATTAACTCMTAATGAAATTCATCTGAGCTCCTTAAGAACCCTAGCAGTTTGCAGGGACTACTGTCTACTTGCTCCTTTATCTTAGGGACAAAACAGCAGCCTTGCTACCACCCTGAATTGCAGGTGTAGCCCCAGCAGCACCAGCTCCTTTAGAGCTGAAAATTAGAGCTGAAAACAGAGCTAAAAAAAAAAAAAAAAAAAAAAAAGTTGAATTTTTCAGTCCAACCTATTAGTAAGAGCATCTGATGGGTGCCAGATCCACCCTAGAGATTTGTCCCTAGCCCAGTGCTATCATAGAGGATAACGTGGCTCCTTGAATTCACAACATTCAGTGACAAAGAGTCAGTTCAGTTGCACGAGTCTTACCAAAAGGATGCTTGTTGATCCAGAGAGTCCAAAATCAGGTGGACTTCAAAAGATACAGCTGACAAAGGACTTTATAATCATGCCTTGAAGTTTCCTAAGGGAATTACGGAGCCCTGCCAATATGCTCACTTGTCTTGGTGATCTTTTGCAGACGGCTTCGACGTAGTGCCTGGAATTCCAAGGATTCCCAGCTCATAGGTTGAAAAGAGTCCTAAAAAAACAGAATGCTTGGATTTACTTACGTGAAGATCATTTACTAGATTTCCCTTCAGCACTACCACAGGATGAAATTTTGGTCCTAGTTGAATTCAAAAGGAATTTTGCCACTGACTTAAATGGAGCTAAAATGTCACAACACTTCAACATCTGGCTGCAACTGAACACACAGCAAAGTTCACTTCCTCAGCCTCTGAAGACAACACAGGACATTGGCTATCTCATTTAAAATGAAAATTTTGTTCTTGGCAAGCTGTTCATAATGAAGAGTGAATCCATCCACCAACACTATCAGAACTAAATCCCCCATTGGCAATAGCATCAATGGGTTCTCTGTCGTTTTCTGGGAAGAATGTCAAAATCACCCATCTACTGTTGAGAGTCATTGTGCTGTAACAACTTGGTTTGTGACAGCAGATCCATCCTTGTCTGTGGTTTCCCACAGATATGGGGGGTTTTCACCCAAGTCATCTTCAGCTTCCTGAGCCACTGGACGAGTCCCTTGCTAAGTTAGAGAGCAGTTATTAATCCAACCCCCGGAATATGGTGATCAAGGGTAGGGCTGAAAGGTAACTAAGGATGGAGGGACAACTGATGCGAGTTAGTTTCTCCCACTGAAAATCCAGTTGAGACACAGCATTGTTGGTTTAGTGTAAAATATTTGTGCCAGGTCAACCACAAGCGGGTACCTCTTTTTACGGGAATGCGAATAAAACAAAATAGCGGCTCAGGGGAGGCATGAAAATCTGCTCACAAGAGAAGACCCATCAGTGTCTGTAAGGAAAGGGACATACACAGAGAGATGCTTTTTTGTGCAAGGTGGAAAGGGATCCAGGCTGTTGCTTCCTGCTCCAGGCAGGGACGGGCTAACACACCTGTGCAAACCCAGCTTCCTTCCATCCTGTCCCATGCCCTGGGGAACACAACCAAAATCAGTCTCCAGTATCTGACGAGCTTTAATTCCCAGCACTTAAATAATTAGCTTCTCAAATGTACAAAAACAACTCTCATTTTCTGGATTAATGAAGGAAGCTGGGTTCCACTGAGCAAAGCTATTATGGAGCTGCTAATGCACGGCTTGATTTCATCGCCTGCCACTAAGCACGGAGCGATGGGGGCTCCTGGGAGAGCAGAAAGACAAGGAGGGCAACGCTGCTGCAGGGTTAAAGCAGAAGGCAGGAGGGGAGGCCCTAGCAATTCACTGCTTTGTGGTTTTATGCAGAGAGAGGGCTGGGATTGTTTATGCATCTGCTGGGTTTTATCTGGGTTTGTGATGATGCCATCTAACCCAAAAGAAAGCCAAAGGATCTCAGGGAGATCCTAAAGGGTGGACAGTTTGCTTAATCATAGACCATTCCGAAGTAGTTTCCCATGCAAAGCAACAGAAATATAGTGTACAGAGACAAGTCTAGACTTTAGGTAGCCACTTAGCAGCTTCTGCACCAGTTATAACAACGCAGTATTGCAAAGAGCTTTAGTGCAATGTCTTTCACAGCYGGAAACACTACAGAGGTACTGCAATATAACTGTCCTCTCTGCCACTGGCTTACAAGTTGATGGGAAATTAGTTGCAAAGAGTCTTTTTTTTTTTCCTATCTAGGCAGGTACAGGCATGCAAACTCTGCAGAACAAAATCCCCTTCTTTCTTCATTATATTGAAAAAGGACTGATGATTTGCTGGTTGGAGTTCCTCAAGTGGATTTGGGACTAAATAGCTTCTTACAGTGAAGTTCCTCTAACTGCACTACTGCCCTGTGCCTTCAAGCACATCACCTCAGTCACACTCTTCCAAAAAGGATCAAACAAAGCCCTTGACCTTTGTAAGAAAAGCCTCAAGTTGTAATGGAAGCCTTGGGTTTAACAAAGAAACCTCAGTGCAGATATGCAGCAATAATTGAGATGTACATAGAAGGAACTGTGGTGCTTTATGCAGCAGAGTTTGTGCTTCATAGTCTGACTTTCAGCCACAGACGAAAACTTTTAGGGACCTGCATATGCTTGGGAGCCTCAGCACCTTCCCAGCTGGTTTTCTAGAGGTGGTCACTCAAAACTAAGCCTTTCKCTGGAGATGCAGACCATGCTGCTTCATGCATTTGGTCAATGCTTGTTGGACCACTGACTTGAGGGGAGTTACATCCCATGTGATTTAGCTGAAGCACTCAGGAAATAATTATGTACAGTGGAGAGTTAAAAGAAGGTAATTAGAYTGTACAAATAAATAATTGAAGTGACTAAAAAAATCCACCCAAAGCCTACTTTTAGAACATTATTTAATGTAAATGAATCACTTAGTGGACAATGTAATAATCATCAGTTCAGTTTCTGTTCATTATCAAAAACAATACAAAAGGATTGGCAGGGAAGAGCCATGTGCCAGAGGGAGCCCTTCAGGAAATACCACAGAATCTGGACTGGCTTTTGTCTGTTCTTCTATTGTTTTCTGAAAATGCCTTGCTAATGAGTGTCCAACCTTATGGTTGTCTCTCTGTCTCTCTCTCTCTCTCTTTCTCTCTTTCTCTCTCTCTCTCTCTCTCTCCCCTCCCTTATTTTGTTTTTCTTTTCCCCCAAAGCATATCACTAATAATTTTGCCCTTTCAAAATGACCTGAAATGTTTGTTCAGGTCAGAAGAGCCCCACACATCATGTATGAACTTTGACGAGACCTAAGAAGCTGAGGATGGGTGGCCTTAGGCAGCCTGGGAAAACCCACCTGAGATAATAAAGAGTTTTGCTTCCTCCTTAAGAAAAAAAATCCATTAAGGGAAGCATTAGGTATCTTTGAAACTTCCAATACCTCCTGAATTCAACACCTGTATACTTGGCAAGTTCATCCTTAGTTACTCAGTTTCAAGTGATGCTAACTTCATTCTAAGAAGCAACTGACTTTGCAATGGGGCATATTTGTATTCATCATTTAAGCAGGGAACTTGAATTAGAGGAATCTCCGTTAAGGATTTGGGGAGGAAAAAACTACCAAGTAGATGCTCTTGCTAGAAGAAACAGAGGCTAAGGAGATAATATTAAGCCCCAAAACACCGTAATTATAATTGTGAACTGCTGATGCACTGGCAATCACATCTCTTAGAGCTATTTTGGACTATCTGATAGCTCAGATGTGTGATAAAGAACCAGGGTAYCTCGTTCTCACCTGGCTCCTTGGCTCACTCCTGCTGCAGCTCCTGGTCCCTGCAGTGCTGCTGCTCTGACTCTCTGCAGGCCGCAGTGGCAGCCGAATCCCTGAAACCATCTGAGGGAGGGRAAAAAAAGGCAAAAACAATAAATAGGAGAAAAGAGGGTGGGGCAGATAAGCAGGCTTTGCTGCTGAGGAAAAGGCATGTGAAACTGCACCCGGATTTGACTTCTCAAGGTTGTCGTCGGGAGCCGAGAAGCACTTGGTTTGTTTTAGTTTGCCTTGAACAAAAACTTGGACTCTGCAGCAAATTTCTGCAGTCAGAACTTATTTGTGTCAAACCCAGTGACGACAGAATATGTGGGTTTCTAGTTAACACCAGCTAAAATCTGGGATAGAAATACACATGTCGTAAAGTCTTGTGGCATTAACCGCCCTTAGGACCGACTCCTGCAAAATCCCTGTTAAATTAGCTGCATAACTTGCAATCAGGAGGGGGTGCTCATGGCACACATCCAGAATCCCACTTAAGGGGAGGCTCTCCAGAGGAGTCCTGCTGGCCCATACTGGGACTATTTATGACACTGTTCTTTCCTGCTCTTACCTGTCCTTCAGCTGGGGGTTAGTCTTGCTGAAGCAGAGCCTGCAAATGGGTGGCCTGTCCTCTCCATGGCCACCAGAATCCAGTGCCTGGAATATTAATGAAAGAGCTGGCAGTTCAGATTAATACCCTGGGCTGCAAATGGTGACGCACGGCCCTGCTGCCACCTCTGCTGCAGGACAGGAACCTCCCGCRGCGAGATGGGGCAGCGGCACCAGTGAGACAGCACAGCCCTTCCAGCCACTTTGCTCGAGGGATGCAGTGCTTGGTACCTGCCAGGCAGTCTTGCACAGGGTGGTTATCACAGAGCAGAGAGGGATGCGGCTTTTTCACTGAGTGTTTTCACCCTGGGCAGGGACAGCTCTGCCCTTCTGATAAACAACAGCTCCTTGCACGGAACCATCACCSCCATTTGCACCAATTGACACTTTTTGTGTGGSCTCTATTAAAGACAAAAAGATCTCAASGATGTGCTTAAAAGGAGAAAARTAAATAAATAAAYAAACCTGATTATGTTAACTCCYGGTATCTGAAGGGCATAATCCTAATATTGGGATATGCAGAGAAGCCAGCAGCCTAATTAGCCCTGCTTGTTTTACAAACTTGCCCTGAAATATCCCAAAAATGTATTCAATAAACCCTATTCCTCCCTGCTCTGGTAASGAATATATTTTTTGTTGGTCCCTGGAGTGGTTGCTTAAGTCAGGTCTCCCTGTAATTACAGCCCTCGCAGCGGCGCGGGAGGTTTAATTAAGAGTCGCTGTAGGTGAGCTGTCACCCAGACACAGCGAGTCCTGCTGGCAGAGGGGCCCGGCTCCAGCAGCAGTGGCTATTTGGGGTATTTGGGGCGTTTGGACTAGACAATAAAACTTTGCAAAGGGTTTCGAGGTCCTCCTGTAGCCGGATGCCCGCGGCAGCCACTGCTTGGAGCCCATGGGCTCCATCGCTGGCCGGGCTGCAGCTCTGAACGTCTCTCCGAGCTCAGGAGACGCTCTGCCCACCGCAGCATTTCATAATGCTCCCCCTCTTTCAAAAAGTGTGACTCACCAGTTTCAAACGGTGACATTTCATTCCCCAGCTATTCCGGGAGCAGCTGGCTCTGTGGCACACAGGGATGCGGGGAAAGGCAAGGAGGGAGCGCAGAACCAGACCTCAGAGCACAATCCGCTCCCTCACACAGGTACGGTGCGCTTGCATTTCACAATCACGTCATCTGGGAGATACTGGCAAATTCCCTAAGAGTAAAACAATAAATCAAAGCACATCTCAGAGAAAAACATCCATCTGTGATGCAATTCCATCTCAGCCAGGACAGGCTGGGAGAGCAGCTCGCTGCGAGGAAATTCACAGTCCCCTCTTCTCACCCCTCTCGTGAACGTGGACCCTGCGGTTCTGGGTGGCTCTTGCAAAAGGCTCCCCTGTGAAGCAGCCCCAAGTTTCCATCGTCACCAATATCTCACTACCCATGAACAAACGCATGTGTGGTGGGAAGATGACAATGGGGGGAATGACAAAGAAATCACTGTCAGCTCCCAATCCCGAGAGGGGTTCCGTGTCACGCTGCAGTTCAGCACAGCTCGTGTCCCTGCTGTGGGGACGTCACTGTCGCAAGCACAACACGCAGCACGTGAGCAGGGGCTGCTGCAGGCGCTGCCCTCGCAAACGCGCAAMCGCTGCCGCGGTGCCAGGGGCAGAACCTCCCCTGGCCTTCGACTAGAAACGTGYGCGTGCCCGAGCGGCGTCAGAGCCACGACCCGGCCCCGTTCATTAATGTTCGTAAAATTCCACGGGGAGGCAGCGTGGAGCGATGCAGCCACAGGCTCCCGAGGGGAGTGTCGGGATGCTGCTGGCAGTGTCACAGCAGCCTGGCATCCCGGCGCTGCCACCGGCCCTGCTGCCCCGCTGGGACAGGCTGCCTGATTTGTACCCCACGGTGCCATCATGGACGGTGACAGCACCGCTCACCTTGGCACTGCATGAGCTCACGCAGGGGATGCTCCATTGCATTCCCATCCCTCTCCCTCGCTGCAAGAGGGAGGGCTGCTCCAAGGCTCCCTGTGCCTGGCAGCGGGAAAGCAGCCGGCACCGGCCGCTGCCCTCGTCACCCATGGACATGGTGCAGAAATCAGGGCTCCTTCCACACGGGCCGCGTCGTCCCGGCGTGCAGCAGGCAATGACCTTGGCTGGGGAGCCGTCCCCTGCATACAAAGATGGACATAAAAGCAGCAATTGCCTTTTTAAAAAGCAACCRATGTTCTGCTAAGGTAGGGAAAGGCGGTGGTTTGTTAAATAAATGCATCTGTCAGAGCTAGGGTTTTTTTTTTTTTCCAGCTTCCCTAAATGCCCTTCACCAGCAGCGAGGGGGAGGGGACCTGCTCTTTGAAGCTTTTTCCTTATGGGAATAGAAAACACGGAAAGAATTCAATTCTCTGCCACAGCCCAGCACCGCTGATCCATGCTTCAAAACCCAAAGCCCAGAAGACAAGCTGGGTGCGGACGGCTTGCAGCATTTATGACCTCCAGACCAGCCTTGCTCAATACCCTGCACCATTAAGCGTCCCCCGTAGTGCTAAAGCACAGAAAGAGGGGAAGGAATGGAGAAAGGGGAAGAAAAATAAGGAAATTGGGTGCAGAAAAGAACRGCAGTTATGGCAATCCTTGGTCAAAAGCACCATCTAGTGAAAAACGGGAGCAGTGCAACCTAAATTGCTGGGAGAGAGGCAGCTGCATCGACCACAAATGGAACTGGATTTCTACCACAGCCTACAAAAAATACATATATATGAGGCCATGTTCATGGGCAGAGCTATGTCTGCATGAACATGTTCCACAATCAGGGCCCTGCGTGCGAATACTTGTCCTGTGGAGACGTGCCCAGCTCCCCTCCAAGAACCTCGCTACCCTAAAGCCAGCGGGGAACGAGGTGCCACCGGAAAAGAATTATTTCCCTGTTACGATTTGGGAACTAAGGAAAAGAAAAGGTGAGCGAGCGGTCCAAGGTCATGCAGGAAGCCGGAGGCAGATCCGGGAATAGAGCCCGGCAAGGCAAGGCTGGATCCAGAGCCCTGCCTGAACAATAGAGCAGCCACCTTCCCTCGGGTGCCGCTTAACTCCTTCCTATCTCACCACAAAGCCCGAGAGGGGCAGCCCTTGCCCTTCCCTGCAGCCTTCACCACCCCGAACCAAAGAGTCTGGAATGGGAAAAGGCAGGATTTGTTTATCCTGAGAGCAGCAAGTGCTGCAGATAGGCAGCAACTCCAACACCCCAGGTCTGAGCAGTCCCCTCAGCAATCAGAGCAAGCCCAGTTGGAAGCTTTTTAGGAAATCAGCCCTTCAGCTTTGCCACGGCTCCATTTCTGCATGTCACAACATCCTGAGCTCCTCTGGAGATGCTCAGCTCTGCTCAAAAGSCTGTGGAAGGTCCAGGTTTGGGGTATTCAGCTGTGGGAGGGAAGATGTGGGAAGATGCTGTTGCCTCCTCCTTTTGGGTCAGCTGCAGAGGTCGGGGACTCGCAGCGAGACCCTCCATCCGAACTGCAGCCTGTTTCCATACTAAGCTTGAAAACGCTGCAGTGCAGGGATCAGAGAGGAC